TGAAAAAAAGCTAAGGAAGAAGTATGCAAGATGGGCTCAGGAATGCAATCAAAAATATATGAATAATGCTTTGCACTTGAATAGGTTTTATATTTTCAGCATTTCCCCATGTCCTTTCATTTCAACCCCAAGCATTCCTGAGTCCCATAAATATTCTCATTTATTCATGGGTCACTTCTATGGTTAGCCATGGCTAAGAACGGAGAGCAAGGGCTTGAAATCCAACCACATATTCAAAACATTCACTGAATCTATGCCAAGAGTCTAGGGAGATACAAAAATAAATAAAAGATATATACAAAGATATAAAAAAGATACCAAGATATAAAAAATTCTTGCCCTGTGGGAGATTTGTCCTACCACTACCAATGCCCAACCTTCCTACTTACCCTAGTTTCTCTTCTTGGATCATCCCACCCCCCCAACAACCACCGTTCTCATGGGGCTGAGGAGGTTTACCCAGACCTCAACAGGGCGAGAACAAAGCTAGCTATAATAGAGCCTGTGTATTGTCTAAGTTTACCACTCACTCCCTGTTTGACCTTAAACTCTCTCACCTCAGTCTGCTCATCTATAAAAGTATAGATAAACTGGTTGGTAAGACCCCATTAGGCTCTAAAACTTTTATGATTAGATGACATTTTATAATGCTTTAAAGCTGAAGTCCTATTTTGTGGAATCTAGAAAAACTGCCCTGCCCACTTGGAAAATGGTAATTTGATGCTGAACAGATCCCTGGCATCAGAAATCAGTTAAGGCTAAGGCTCTCAGAGGCTGCTCTCGCCCAAAAATTCCGCTTAATTCAAGTTATGACCATACAGGACAGTGATCAGAAAGTAGTTTACTGGCAAGAACAATCCCTACCATTAACCCTAATTCAAATATAAATGACCCCGAAGGATATTCAGAGAATCCCTGAACCATGTTATCACAGACAGGTACTTATTTACATTGAAGACAGAATACTATCTTGATGATCACATTTGTCCCTCTCTTCACTTAAAAAGCTCTTTGCTATTTTATTATCCATATACTTCTATGGCTTTGAAGCAAAATGGGGGAAAACTTTAGAACTCAAAATTGGGGGAAAAAAATTAGCGTATCATTCATATGGCAGTGTAACGTACGTTATTTGGGCAACTATCTCCCCTAATAGATTCTAAAATTCTTGAGAGCAGGGATCCCTGGGTGGCGCAGCGGTTTGGCGCCTGCCTTTGGCCCAGGGCGCGATCCTGGAGACCCGGGATCGAATCCCACATCGGGCTCCCGGTGCATGGAGCCTGCTTCTCCCTCTGCCTGTGTCTCTGCCTCTCTCTCTCTCTCTGTGACTATCATAAATAAAAAAAAAAAATTCATAAAAAAAAATTCTTGAGAGCAGAGAGAGGACAGCCTGGAGACTAACAAGGTGGCCAGTGGGTTAAAGCCCCCATTCTGCAATCTATTAGTTGGGTCCTTGGCAAGTGAGTCACTGAACTCCTCTGAACCTGATTCCCTCCTGTTTAAAATGAGGATAATAACAGCACCTGTGTTATAGGTTTGTGAGGATTAAAAGGACACAGTATCTTCATTGCTATTACTATTCACTTTGGTATTACCTCCGGCCAGCCGGGTGCTTCGCACAAAACAAGAAAACAGCAAGTATTTTTTTGACTGAATGAATGAATAATTAGACTAGGTAACCTGAAATCTAAGTATCTAGGGAACACAGTCTCCAATGTTTCAGGAAATTTCCTTTGAAAATGAAATGCTGTGTAGTCTTAGGGAAAACTGATTCATTCCATCAGCAAAGGTAAACGGCCTGAGCACACTTGCTGATAAGAAAGTAATCCTAAACTGTCCATTTAATACAATAAAAAAAAAAAAAAAGAACCCAGCCAGGTTTGCAAATAAAAGGGGTGCGATGGAGAAGAGGGGAGCATCTTAAATAAAAGCATGCAAGCCCCATCCGAACGGAGTCTGCCCTACAAGACTCCTTAGAAGGAGATCCCTTTAGAGCTGCCCTGAACCACAGGGCGAATAAAGGACGCGGGCAATCGTAAACAAGTCACGCTTTTAAAGCGAAACAGACCAACCAAGGACACAATACCCTACAGCGGCTTCCAGCGGCTTCCAGCGGCAGCGGCTTCCAGCGGCAGCGGCGCGGCCTCGCCCAAACCCACCGGGACCGCCCCTTCTTCGGCAACCGAGCCGCGCGGCTGGCACCCTCCGGGACCGCTATTTATAACCTTCCCTCCAGGCCGATTGGCCGAGGCCGAGTAATTGTCATTCCGCCTCCGGGCGGGCGGCCGCCACCGCTGCCTCCCGGGTCACCGACCCCGGGCCCACTGTCGGCCCGCGTGGGGTGTGCCCCGCCGCCCGCCGCCCGCCCGCCCGGACCTCCGCGCCCCCCGCTGCAGCGCGCCGCCGCCTAGGTCTCCCGCCGACCCCCACCCCCACCCCCACCCCCCCAGGCGCAAGCACAACTTCGGGGCGTCCGGCTGCCGCTTCTCTGGGTGCACCCTCTGTCAAAAGTCCTCTGTGACCTCCCCCCCACCTCCCATCTCGCGGGCCGAATAACCCCGTGCGACGCCCGCTGCCCCCAAAGCTCCAAGATCTGCACCTGCACAGCTGCCCGCGCCCCGACCCCGACCCCCCCCCCCCCCGCTCCCGTCCACGTCGCCCCGGCCAGAGCGCGGGAGGAGGGCCCCCGAGGCACCCAAGCCTCCGGCCTGCGGGCGCCCGCGTGCACCCCGCCCCCTTCTGCTCCAGGACGGGTCCCCCGCCGGGGGCCCAGCGCCCCCTCCCCCGCCGCGCCCCGATCGCGCGCCCGGGCTGCGCGGGCTGCCGGCGCCGCTCACCTCGGCGGGGAGGCGGGGAGGCGGGGAGGCGGGGAGGCGGGGAGGCCGTGGGCGCGCCGCTGGGGGGACGCCGCGCTGGCGGACCCGGCTCCGGCTCCGGCTCCGGCCCCACCGCCAGGCGCCTCCAACCCGGAAGAACAGCCCCAAGCCCGCGGCGGCGGCCACGTGACGGCGGCGCACCCCCAACCCCCCGAGCGCCCCCTCCCTCGCCCCGCGCCCCCTCCCCTCCAGGCCGGCCCGCCAGCTGGGCCGCGGCGCCCGCCGCCCTCTCCCGGCGGGCACGCGACCTCGCCCGACCTCGCGCCGAGGCTCGGCGCCCCGGGGCCCTCCCTCCTCGGGGGGCACCGAAACCTCTTTGTCCGGGGCTCGACCCGCCGCCCCCGCCCCGCCTCCGTCCTTGTCAATCAAACCTGCAGCCGCGCCGCGGCCGCCGGGCTGTTCGGGGCTCTGCCCCCTCCCGCCGCAGAGCCAGGTGCGCGGCGTGACTTCCTCTCCCCGGGCCCACCGGAGCACGTACAAGGGCACCGTGGGCTCCTCTTTCGCTGCCTTTCCTCTAGCTCTCTAGGAAAAAGCCCCAACTTCTGTAACAGAAGAGGACCCGAAGGACGGTGGGAGGCGGCCGCGGGCGGTGGAGGGCGGGGACGAGGGCGTTGTTTTCCCATCCTGCCGGGAGAGGTGGAGTTAAATTCCTCGGAAGCCGTGTCAGGGCCCGAAAATTAACACACTTCTACGTGCCGGTCTTCCCACGGCCGCCCCGAGAAAGCCGAGAAAGCCGTGGGCTGCTGGTGGCAGTGACAGCCGGCGGCGAGAGGCGAGAGCGCCCTGGGGGGAGATGAAGTGGCCTGACAAGGCCTGGGTGGATTTCAGCAAAACTACTGAATAGACCCCAGACCTAAGTCCCTGCTTGTCCTCTGCACGCAGTTCTGTTAGTCTGCGAGTGTCTCCTGATTAAAAGTGGGAAGAATCAAACATAGACTAGAAAACCGTTCACCTACCCAAAGCTGAATCATCAAGTGTCAGCATGGTCTCTGCTTTGCACTTTGAGTGAATATTTAAGATAGGCAATTCAGATATTTCTTGGAAAGAAGAAGAGAAAGGAGAGAGAAGAGAAAAGAAAAAAAAAAAGTCAGAGAAACCCTTCCTTTAAGAACATCTCTTGTGTTTCACCAGCATAAAAGGTCATTCAACTAATGAATTCCCACTGACATCCAAAGAATGTGAAGGGAAAACATTGCCCTTCTCCTAAAAAAGTTCACAGACAAGGAAGAGCACAAGCCCATATTTTTAAAAATAAAATGGGGCTCTCTGCTCCTTCCCGTTGGACAGACAGCCGCGTCTTCTGGTGCAGGGCCAGCCCCATCCCTGAGACACGATGGTGAAGGTCGGAGTGAACGGATTTGGCCGTATTGGGCACCTGGTCACCAGGGCTGCTTTTAACTCTGGCAAAGCGGATACTGTCACCATCAATGACCCTTTCATTGACCTCAACTACATGGTGTACCTGTTCCAGTATGATTCTACCCACGGCAAATTCCACGGCACAGTCAAGGCTGAGAACGGGAGACTTGGCATCAACGGGAAGGCCATCTCCATCTTCCAGGAGCGAGATCCCGCCAACATCAAATGGGGTGATGCTGGTGCTGAGTATGTTGTGGAGTCCACTGGGGTCTTCACCACCATGGAGAAGGCTGGGGCTCACTTGACGGGCAGGGCCAAGAGGGTCATCATCTCTGCTCCTTCTGCTGATGCCCCCATGTTTGCGATGGGTGGGAGCCATGAGAAGTAGGACAACTCCCTCAAGATTGTCAGCAACGCCTCCTGCACCACCAACTGCTTGGCTCCTCTAGCCAAAGTCATCCATGACCACTTCGGCATCGTGGAGGGCCTCATGACACCGTCCAGGCCGTCACTGCCACCCAGAAGACCATGGACGGCCCCTCTGGGAAGCTGTGGCGTGGCGGCCGAGGGGCTGCCCAGAACATCATCCCTGCTTCCACTGGCGCCGCCAAGGCTGTGGGCAAGGTCATCCCTGAGCTGAACGGGAAGCTCACTGGCATGGCCTTCCGTGTCCCCACCCCTAATGTGTCAGTTGTGGATCTGACCTGCTGCCTGGAGAAAGCTGCCGAATAGACGACATCAAGAAGGTAGTGAAGGGCAGCCGGGATGGCTCAGCGGTTTAGCGCCGCCTTCATTCCAGGGCATGATCCTGGGGACCCGGGATCAAGTCCCATGTCGGGCTCCTTGCATGGAGCCTGCTTCTCCCTCTGCCTGTGTCTCTGCCTCTCTCTCTCTCTCTCTCTCTCTCTCTCTCTCTCTCTCTCTCTCTCTCCTCTGTGTATTCTAATGAATAAATAAATAAATAATCCTTAAAAAAAAAAAAGGTAGTGAAGCAGGCATCGGAGGGCCCCCTCAAGGGCATCCTGGGCTACAGTGAGGACCAGGTTGTCTCCTGCGACTTCAACACTGACACCCACTTTTCCACCTTCGATGCCGGGGCTGGCATTGCCCTCAATGACCACTTCGTCAAGCTCATTTCCTGGTATGACAATGAACTCGGCTACAGCAACCGGGTGGTGGACCGCATGGTCCACATGGCCTCTGAGAAGGAAGAGCCTCCTGGACCACCAGCCTCAGCAAGAACAAGAGGAAGAGAGAGGCCCTCAGCTGCTGGGGAGTCCCTGCCCCAACTTAATCTCCCAACACACTGAGAATCTCCTGACCTCCAATTTACATGCCAGACCCCAAGGAAGGGGAGGGGCTTGGGGAGCCCTACCTTGTCATGTACCATCAATAAAGTATACTGTACCAAGCCAAAAAAAAAAAAATATATATATATATAATACATACATACATACATACATACATATATAATGGGGGGAGGGGGGCACCTCCAGGGTTCAGTCAGTTAAGCACAGGACTCTTGATTTGGGCTCAGGTCATGACCTCATGGTTTGTGAAACTGAGTCCAGCATCTGCTCCCAGCTAAGGGAGGAGTCTGCTTGAGATTCTCTCCTTCTGCCCCTCACACCACTCATGTGCTCTCTCTTTCTCTCTCTCTAAATAAATTTTTTTTTAAATAAAATCTTTGGGGCACCTGAGTGCCTCAGTGGGTTAAGCCTCTGACCTTGGTTTCAGCTCAGGTCATGATCTCAGGATCATGATATCATGGAGTCACACTCACGCTGACTATGGGGTCTGCTTGGGTTTCTCTATCCTTTCCCTTCCCCTCCATGCACAGGATCTCTTTTTCTCTCAAATAAATAAATAAATTTTTTAAAAATAATAAAAACTATAATGAACTATGATAAATGTAACCATAGATTACATTTTAAGATATGGCGGTTTCAATGAAGCAGAAGTAATTAATAAGGATTAAAACTAAGCCCCTTTCATGATATATGTAAGTCAAATCATTATGTTGTACACCTTATACACATACAGTGCTACATGTTAATTATATCCCAATAAAACTAGGGAAAACAGGGCAGCCCTGGTGGCTCCGTGGTTTAGTGCCACCTTCAGCCCAGAGCATGATCCTGGAGACCCCAGATCAAGTCCCACATCAGGCTCCCCGCATGGAGCCTGCTTCTCCCTCTGCCTATGTCTCCGCCTCTCTCTCTCTCTCCTCTCTGTGTATTCTCATGAGTAAATAAACAAAATCTTAAAAAAAAAAAAAAAAAAAAGACTAGGGAGAACAAATACTTGTTTTAAAACACGGGGGGGGGGGTAAGGGTTTGCTGCTTTTCTCTTTCAAGACTTAAAAATCAGTGGTTCCCAACTGAGGACAATTTTGTCCAATAGTATCTGGAGACATTTTGGTCATCACACTGCAAAAAGGAGGCACCTAAGGGGTAGAGACCACGGATGGTGCTAACTACTCTACATTACATAGCTCCTTACAACAAAGACTTATCTGGGCCCAAATATCAACAGTGCTAAAGCTGAGAAACCTAGGTGTAAATGAATGCTCAGTGGGTTATTTAATTTCACCTTATAATTATATTATATCGGAACAAATCCAAAGATGACATACCATTTTTCACTTTTTCTGTTAAACAGTAAGTATATGGTAATTTTTTAAATTCATTCTTCTCGTTTGTCCAACATAACTTGGTGCCTTTGCTCCAATTGAAAACATTTGTCATTTGGAAGGTTCTGTTTTAGGCCCTAATTTCCTCCATAGTAATTACAAAATATTCATAGGAGTCCCCCAAGAAAATTGTATTAAGTTCCAAAAGTTAGTAAGTTAGTTGCTTTTGAATCTTAGAAAATACCTTGTATGGGCAGCCCGGTGGCTCAGTAGTTTGAGCGCCTGCCTTCGGCCCAGGGTGTGATCCTGGAGTCCTAGGATCGGGTCCCACGTTGGGCTCCCTGCGTGGAGCCTGCTTCTCCCTCTGCCTGTGTCTCTGCCTCTCTCTTTCTCTCTGTGTGTCTATCATGAATAAATAAATAAAATCTTAAGAAAAGACCTTGTATAAATTTTTTGCAAAAATCTTACACCCCCTCTTAGGTTTTGTCCATATTGATATCCACTTCTTCTTCCTTAGCTTTCTCCAACCCCAGTCCCCATTTAGAAAAATACCTCTCCTCTCGGGATGCCTGGGTGGTTCAGTCCATTAAGTTGCCAACTCTTGATTTCGGCTCAGGTCATGATCTCCGAGTCTTGGGATGGAGCCCCATGTTAGGCTTCCTGCTCAGAGGGAGTCTGCTTCTCTCCCTCTATCTTTGCCCCTCTGCCTGCTAGTGTGATATTCAGCATTAACTGGAAGAGGATCAAGGAAAACAGACATTAAATAGCCAGCACAAAGCTAAGTAATTGGCAGTTTGTTTAAATAAAACCAGTTTGAGGGGTGCCTGCATGGCTCAGTCACTTAAGCATCTGCCTTCAGCTCAGGTCATGATCCCAGAGTCCCAGGATCAAGCTGAGCATAAGGCTCCCTGCTCAGCAGGAAGTCTGCTTTTCCCTCTCCCACTGTCCCTCCCCCCACTCATTTCCTCCCTCTCAAATAAATAAAATCTTAAAAAATAATAAAAAATTTTAAAAAACCCAGTTTGCATTTAGAATTGTTTAGAACTCAGCATACCTTTGTGGATATTGTTCTTTGCACATAGTAAGTGACAATGATAAAAAGAAAAATCTAGAGTTTTTGTTTTATTTTAGAACATAAAAAAATAATTTATCTAATGATACCTTTGGGGACCTGGGAAGATGGGGAAATGGGGGGGTCTATTAGTATCTTAGGAATGCTAAAACAAATTGCTACAAACTGGGTGGCTTAAAACAACAGAAATGAATTCCTTCAGAGTTCTGGAGGCCAGAAGTCTGATATCTTGGTGTCAGCAGAGTTGATTCCTCTGAAGTTCTGAGTGAGAAACCAACCTACACCCTTCTACCTTGTGGAGAAGCTACTAGTTGTCAGCAATCTCTTGGTGTTCCTTGACTTATAGACACAAGACTCCCAATCTCTGCCTCCTTACCACATTGCCACTCTGTGCCCAAATCTCCATGTCCTTTCTCTTTTAAAGACACCAGCCAGGGCAGCCCTAGTGGTGCAGTGGTTTAGTGCCTCCTACAGCCCGGAGTGTGATTCTGGAGACCCAGGATCGAGTCCCATGTCAGGTTCCTTGCATGGAGCCTGCTTCTCCCTCAGCCTGTGTCTCTGTGCCCGCCCCCCTCTGAATAAATAAATAAATAAATCTTTAAAAAAAAATAAAAATCAAGACACCAGCCAGTGGCATTAAGGTCCACCCTAAATCCAAGATGATTTTATCTCAAGATCCTCAACTAATTACAACTACAAAGGCTGTATTTCTAAATAACGATGGTGATGAGTTTGGAGGGGATGATATTTAACCCACTGCAGGGGCTTTCTGTGTTTGTGAGGGTACTAACTACAATGTAAAGAGGAGTAGTTGTTTGTTTTTAAAAAAAACATACATAGATTTACCAGTTCTTGAGTTTAAAGTGAAAATCCAAATTATTTGGGGGAAATTCAGGTGAAAGACATTTTGTATTAATAATTAGAAGAATGGGGATGCCTGGGTGGTTCAGCAGTTAAGCATCTGCTTTCAGCTCAGGGCGTGATCCTGGAGTCCTAGGATCGAGTCCCACATCCATCCCACATCAGGCTCCCTGCATGGAGCCTGCTTCTCCCTCTACCTATGTGTGTGTGTGTCTCTCTCTCTCATGAATAAATAAATAAAATCTTTAAAAAATAATCAGAATGTCCTAATATATTTGTTTTGCTTTTTTTTAAGTTTTAAAAAAAAATTTAGTACTCTCTACACCCAACATGGGGCTCAAACTTATAATAAGATTAAGAGTCATACGCTCCTCTGGTTGAGCCAACCAGGCGCCCCTTGTTTTGCTTTCTTAATAAAGACTTGACCTGGGGCACCTGGGTAGTCCAGTAAAGCATCTGCCTTCAGCTTGGGTCATGATCTTTGGGTCCTAGGATTGAGCTCCGCATGGGGCTCTCGGCTTGATGAGGAGTCTACATCTCTCTCTCACTCTCCCTCTGTGCTCTAGCCACTTCTCTCTCTCAGATAAATAAATAAAACCTTAAAAAATAAAAAGAAAAGAAAAACTCTCCATTTCCCCAACGCTTCGGGGAGAGACAGTCTTGGCTGGGTTGCCTCTCATTAAACCCTTAAAATAAAGTCTCTATCAAATGGCATTTTTCCTTCAATTTTTAAACATATATAACTATATATGACATAGTTACCACTCTCAAACTACTTCATTATAAAACTAATAGTAGTTAACATGTTCATATTTAATTTTAAATATTGCATTTTGATAAAAACTCTAGTTCAGATAGTTTTTTTAATAGGCTTGTGAAACAATCTCTTTGTAGGGTTTTTTTTTTTTGTAGGGTTTTTTTTTTTATGCTAGATGTACTCATAACACAAAAGCAAACACCAAAATTTCTAACCTTTGCTGATTGTGGACATTCCTCTCTAGTTTAACCTCCTACTTCTTTAACCATTCATTCTCAGTTCTTTTGCCAAGTAAACATGCAAATATTTCAAATGTTCCCCTGGCTTTCTTTCCTTTTAACTCGAGTATTTCTTTTCCTGGCAGCCCAGTGTCAACTGTGCCATGACAACTTCCAGAGCTTAGTGTCCAGCCCAAACCTCTCTCTTGAGACCCATGTAGCCAATTGCCTGCTGGTCATTTCCACTGAGATCTCCACAGATACTTTAAACAGGAGAAAATTCTCTCTTATTCCTCTCCTTTTAGCTATAATAAAATACTTACTGCTTTCTAAATGTACAAAGCTGTTCTACACCCCCTAGCTATTTTATATGTTTTTTTCTTCAGTCTGGAGTGCTCTCCTCGTTCTCCCTATTCTTTCAAGACTTGTATCTCACGCTTGTCTCTTATTTCTCTGAACTAGCACAGTGCTTGGCACAGAATAGATGCTAAATAACTGTTTTGCAGGTTGTCATAAAGAGGGGGAAAAAAACTAGTGTAAGAAGATGTGTCCCAGGGTCTGGCATATAATAGATCTTCAGAAGTGTGTCCAATTTAACTTTGGCAAAGATGCAAGAGCAATTCAGTGGAGGAAAAGCAGCCTTTTCGAGAAATGGTGTTGAAGTGACTGGACATCCTTAGGCAACAAACACTCCACCCAATCCTAAGTCTCACAGTTTATACAGTAATTATAAATCAGAATGGAATACAGTCTTATAGTTGAAATTGTTACCAGCTAGACCCCAAGACTTGGCCTTTACTGCCCACTCACTCTTACCC